TGACAAGTGGGTAGCCCAGGTTACGCTGCCACGCAGACGCCTTCCTCCGAGTCTCTGGGGGGATTAGTGATGAATGGTGAGTGAGATAGAGATGGGATTCATGTGAACCTACAGTCCTACATATAAGTCGAGCATTCTCACCCAGAGCCATGCGCTTGGCCTGTATGCTCACAAACTGCTTCTTCATTGTCTCTATATTCAGGATCAGCCAGCAGGAGGTGCTGTTATCTAAGAGAGTAAAAGAGAAAGAGAGAGAGAGAGAGAGAGAGAGAGAGAAAGAGAGAGAGATTAGTAATTAATAGAGCAGTTACAGCAGTTATAGAGGATCATGTCACTCACAATCCCTTACTCACTGTTGAGTTTCGTGGATAGAGAAGCCTCTTCAAACACAGCACAGTTCATCGTCTCCTCCACATCCTCCAGCAGCTGCGTAACAAGACACAATCAACATCACTTCAACTCTGGTCTGCTTTTGCCATTTTCCTCCCCCAACCCCTCCATGTTTTCATGAAAGGCTTGTTTATTCACAAATCAGTGTGGAAAAAGGCTACAATAATTATACAGCACCACACATGCCCAATTCAAGTACTCTTTCCCCCCAAAAGTTCTACACTTGTCACATTTTAACCATCACATAGTACAGGGGTTCCCAAACTAGGATTCGCTTAATTCACAAATGGGGTCACATTCTTCTCTACTGATTTATTCATTTATTTTTACAAAATTAATAATCGAAATAGAGCTATAAAAACAGATTGTGTGCGCTACTACTTTGAATGTGTACATGCTATGGCATGCTGCAGTAATGGGGATAAGAAGAAAAAAGGAGAAAAAAAAAGACCAATTTCCCCATCTATCTACCTTCACTAATCAAGACAGCATGGTCACAAATCACATGTACTAGCACCAATCTTCTGAATTTTCGACAGCGGAAAAAAGAAACAGAATTCATCAACCTGTTTAACATGGCGGTGCGTGAAACGGTTCAACGCGGAAAACTGACACACAGGGCTGTTTTGGCTCTGACGTGCCTTCTCATGAATGTCGTGTTTAATCCTCCAGATGTAAAAGTACACAGGCAAGTATGTGAACAATGCAGCTTACGTTGCCACCACATCTGTCACACGTCAAGTTTAAACCAGGCCCTTTGCTTCACTATAGACTGGATTATTTTCCTACAACAAATGCCATAGTTTTTTATTCATTTGAATCTGGAAGTGACGGCAGAAAGAGATGCACCCTTTCAAAACACACCTGACGTTTCGAAAAAAAAAACTGTGTCCAGTATGTAAGCTCAGCCTTTCCAAGCCTTTGTTTCTTTGGTGATTTAGTATATTACATAAGAAAATGTTCAAAATAGTCCTAAATTATAAATCTGGAATGTAATAAAAATGTAGGGTGGTCATGGCTTGAGATCTCAGAAAATGCATAATGCTCAATTGAGGGTTATCTACCCAAAATGCTTGGGAAACCCTAAACCAGCAGTGTCCAATCTTATCCGGAAAGGGCCGGTGTGGGTGCAGGTCTTCATTCCAACCAAGGAAGCCACACCTGAGTCTACTGAAAGCCAAGATCATCTGATCAAACAGGTGGAATCAGGTGTGGCTCCTGCATGGATGGAATGAAAACCTGCATCCACACCGGCCCTTTCCGGATAAGATTGAACACCCCTGCCCTAAATCCTACATCTTGCATGCTTACCCGTGGTTTAACCAATAAACTTCCAGTGATGCTGAACATTCGTGACATTCCAAAGGGAGTGCACACTGTTGAAAAGAAACACAGAACCGTCAGCACAATTAGAGAAACCACAAATTTGCTTCCCCCATCACCCCCCCACACCCCTCATTGCATATCTTAAAACAAGCAATAATCCAAACAGAAACCAGTGGAATTCTTGTTCATTCAAGAGACGACTGGACACAATCTAGACCATAAGCAAATGCATTAACATTATTGCAAACTCTCACACCACCAACATTCTAGCTTATACTAGACCAGTCTGTATTCGATTTAGAATTTTAACAAAGATAATTGAAAAAAATAAAAACATTTCACCACGGGAAACATGAATATAAGATTTTAAGGATATTATAACTGTATTATAAACCTCTGTCCACTCCACCCATACACTTACATAATAGCAGCAGCACTCCGAACAGTGAGATGCAAGAATAGAGGTAGGGCAGGTAATACTCCCACAGGTCTGAAATAATATAGAAAAGAGTTTACACTTTATACAAAGACACTTTTAGAAGCTTTGTTTACTGCATTTCTGTCTTCAGTAAGAAACAATGTAACTGGAGAAAAATAAGTCTTTTCCTCCTTCGAGAATAATTATACCACAGTGCTGATGAACGCTTGATTCAATAATTAATTTTCTATAACAGGAATTCTGACAGCTACAAGGTTTATATTAAAGCGTTCGTTCGAATACATTATTATTTCTATTGTGACAATATAAAAGGCTCTTTTGTGGCAGACGCTCCATCTGAACAGATTTTTAATAGTTGATATGGCAAGTTTTGTCCGAGGAGACGTTTATTTAACATATTTGAAAAGAGAATCCAGTGACACATCGTTATAAATCAAAGATAAAGCTGTAAATCCAATTTTTCTGACATGGTAAAGTCTTCATGATAGAGGGCTTTGCGGTTTCTCTGGAACATGACAAGCTGTATATATTATTTAAATGATCTTATTAAATTCGAGAGGGAGATAAATAGGTTGATAATGAAACCACTGTGTATAGCTGCTATAACGTAACCATGTTCTGTGAACTTTCTACACAACATACCTGTTCATCAGTTAATAAAAATGGAGATGTTGGCAAATTGCTGTGGTATAAGACCAATAAAACACTTCAGATTGTAATTAGCTGCAGGGTGCTAACAGATTCATTTCTTATAAAGAGGTTTTATTTTTTACTTACACAATGAACTACACATGTTAAAGTGCATCAGAAAGAAAGGTGCTCCCTAACACACACACACACCATATAGATTTTCCCTGGCCATGTTATCATGAAGGAGCGCTGATGCCACCCACACAATGCCAAGCACCAGTAGACTGAGCAGGAGCAGCATCACAGTGGTCTCGTACACCCGGGCCATGACACCCTGTAACAAAATCACACACACACACACACACACATTTCACTACACACACAGGCATCTCAGCACCGTCTTTCGGATGAGACGTTAAACCAAGGTCCTGACTCTGGTCATTAAAAATCCCATGATACATCTCATAAAGATTAGGGGTATAACCCCGGTGTCCTGGCGAAATTCCCCCATTGGCCTTTCTCCATCATGGCCTCCTAACAATCCCCATGTCTCCTCTCCACCAATAGCTGGTGTGTGGTGGGAGTTCTGGCGCACTATGGCTGCCGTTGCATCATCCAGGTGGATGCTACACACTAGTGGTGTTTGATGAGATTCCCTCCCCCACAATACGTAAAGCAATAAAAGCGCTATATAAATGTAAGGAATTATTAGAAGTAGTAGTGCACACACAGGCATGTCAGTACACACAGGCATGTTGACTCAATGTGCTTATTTTTGCAAGATAAAATCAGTGGGCAAATCAATCAATGCATTCATGATACATGACTGAGGAGTTACAAAAGTTAGAAACGCTGATTACCTTTTTGGAACCAACAAAGCCTTCTGACTCTGTAAAGAAGTAAGCAAAGGGCATCAGGAAGACCAAGGAGAGGTTGGAAAAGAGAAAGACCAAGTTCCAGAGACCTGCATAACAAAAAGAACGCATAAAATTAGATCAATAATCCAGCAGCAATGACTTTATATATAAAACTCAAAATAAAGATTTACATAAACTGACTGCATTATAGGAGCTTGGTGTCTTCAGAATGGTTGCTAGAAATCATTTGAGACATGGTGAGGTAACAGAAAATTACTTTGCACATGCTGTCTGAATTTCCCACATAACACTGAAGTACAGTGCCCACCACTAATATTGGCACCCTTGGTAAATATGAACAAAGAAGGCTGTGAAAAACTGTCTTTATTGTTTAACCTTTTAACAAATATATTTAACATTTTTGGGTAAACCTGTGTTGTGTTTGCAGTTGTTATGAGAGCAGTGTATTTTTGTGAATTTTTTTTAAGCAGAATTTCAAAAGGTTAAACAAATCAAGACAATTTTTCACAGGCTTCATTGCTCATATTTATCAAGGGTGCCAATGTTAGTGGAGGACACTATACTACTGTTATTACTAACAGGTTAGCCATGGTGTTTAGTGCCAATACTCACAAGTGAATGTCAATCAAGTTTTACATGAGAAAACCAAACCTGGCCTAATACCAACAAAAACTCAAAAAAAAAAAAACTAAAAAAAACTCAAAAAAACCCAGCCCAATAATGTCAATCATCGCTTTTTTTTTATGTTCGTGCTTTCGGCTTTAACATCAATCAAATGTGAGCGCAGTCGTTAACTGTCTGTACATGTTTATGAGAGAGTGTGTGTTTTTGTGTACCATGGATAAGCGACCCGTTGAGCCACTGCATGTAGTAGTTGTGCGGAAAAGTCAGCAGGACTTCGTTGGACAGGATGGAAATGGGCAAGAGGAGAACTGCACCCACGGCTATAGAGAGTGTGAACGTGCACAACCACAGCCTAGAGTTGGCACAAAGCAATAGAAAGAGAAAAAGGTGTGCGTTAGTCTAATGTCTTCCCACTCGGACACAAGTCCAGCTGTAAAATGAGGTGTAAAGCACCACGGTGGAGGGCCAAAGGGCAAATCGGTACAGATATTAACAATCAGAACACAGAAATAATCAGACGAATATTTTTATTATACACACCAGTTCCAATAGTCCATTTTAACAATACTTACACAATTTTATTCACAATGGCATCCTCAACATCATCTGGAGAGAGACAGAGAAAAATCACATTGACGTTATCAGGGTCATTTACAGCATCTTACATTTATACAGCTGAGCAGTTGAGGGTTAATGGCCCAGCAGTGGCAGATTGGCAGTGCTGGAATTTGAACTCACAACCTTCCAATCACAAGTCCGATGTCTTATCCACTGAGCTACAACTGACAGACAGACAGACACAGACAGCAAGACAGACAGTTTGACACAGACAGACAAGGACAGAAGGCAGGCAGAAATAAGACAACACAAACAATGACGGAAAGAAAGAAAGCAAATCTAAAAGAACAACAGACAGCAAGACATACCATCAATCACAGACAGCAAGACAAATACCCAATGACCGAAAGAAAGGAAAAAAATCTCAAAGTAGAGAAAGACAGACAGCAAGACAATGGCTAAATGTTCATTCATGGAATGGCAGTTAAACCTGACAAAATAATAGTAACAAAGTAATAAAATAAAACATGTCTCAAAAAGCTGTAGGTCAAAGAAATCAATTTTAAAAAATGATATCCTTTCACTGAGAGGAAACCTGAAAGACCTGCTTCCTAAGTATTGACCCCAACAAAGCTTGCGCAATTCAATTTAACCACAAGGCAAGTAGGAGGAGAACTTAGAAACAGACAAACAAACTTGTAAAGCATATTTCTTGATGAGCTCTTGCCAAAATGCCAATCAATCTGGAAACAATTTGGAAACTCTCCAGCAAATCCAACGGTTAGCTAATAAATCTTCTCGGTTTTCCAAACTAGTCAGCAAAATTCATAAACCACATTCAGAATGGAGGAAAAACCTAAATGTTGGTACAGAAGTCGCAAACAAATAGTGCTTTGTCTTTAGATAAAACAGAATAAGTGGACGCATGTTGTCAGGCTTGGGGGAGTGGTAGGTAAGGAGCAGTGTTTATTATCTCTCCGAAACATTACACACAACCCCCAACCTCATCATGTTGACAGGGACATTGCGTAAAGCCCTTCCACTGGCATGTGCAACACTGATCCTGGCATATCATCTTAACATCCCTGAGTTAAAAACATTCTCATGTAGAAAAACCCATCTACATGCAAGGCAAACACACTGCAATGCAATGTGCGGATAAGGTATTAATGATCCAAAATATTTCAGACATCAGGAAAGTGCTTTTGGAGTTTCTTTACTGATTTTGCACTATGAGTCACTTAAACTGCATTTTGAAATCAAGGTTGCAATGCTGGTGCAAGGGAGAAAATATGAGAATGCTGAGAAAATGCCCAGGGCGGCTATACTTACCCGTAAAAAACTCGGCATTCTTCTTGAAATGTGTCAGAATGAGGTAGGACAAGATGTATAGGCAGACAAAGAGCTGCACACAAATCTATAAGAAACGAATAAAGAATAATTACCAGATGTTCAAGATGCCTGTACAATGACCTACTGATCTGCAAGAAAATTCACGCATCATAAATCTACTGCTACAATTAATATAATACTTGACTATATAACAGAGATTGAATCTTGTAAATGCTAAATATGAACTAAATTAGACTCAAAAAAATAAATAAATAAATAAATAAATATGCCACCACACTATGCAACCAAACAGACCTTATGTATATAGACCTAATGCTAACATCAGTCCCTGTGTCAACAGAAATCTATATGCAACAACAGTGAACTTTAATCAGGCTCACAAACATGGCAGGCGATCAAGGTTCATTAATAAAGGAAGGCAAAAATTATGATTGCAATTAAAATATTAATTAACTGTGCAACTCTAAATGTGAAGGAAATGAAAGTTGTTAAATGTTACACATCAGTAATGACACTTAGCCCTTACACGTGGATTCTTTAACAGTTCTTTGGTGAGAAAGAAAAAAAATAAATAAGTACATTTCATTACAGTGAAAACAGGTACAGCTGTGCAATTGAAGAGTTAGCCTTCAATACATTATTAGTATTGGAAATGAGCTCCACTACCATCCAGAGTACCAAGTAGTTCCAGGAACATCTCCCATCACAATGTACCCACACCCACACAATTACAATTGCAGGCTTATCACTCCTGCACCAGGCTGGGCTCATTCACAGCTGACTATATACACGGGCAGCTTATCAACAGAGAACGTGCGTAAATGTGAAGCTATTAAAGGACTGAGCAGGTCAGTAAAGGCATCTAGGCATAAAGGAGTGTGAGGAACACAATGCAACCATGACGATACAAAGTGGAATACATGGCATACCCAGGCCAAAGGGTTATAACAGGGGACAAGATGGAAAGATAGATACCACTGGGTACTGATAGTGTACCAATATCACTCTGGGTGGGTGAGAGAGCAAACATATTTTCTTGTATGCGGTACATTTGCTGTGGTTCTGCTAACAGATCACAAACAATTGTCACCAGGGTGAAAATAAAAACATAAACTGTTTGAGCCCAATTTGGTCATTTCCAATTCCCACCCTTTATTCAGGGCTACACTAAAGCCATCAACAATCTAGAACAGTGAAGGCTAAAATATGCTAAAGAACTTGGCTATTAGTTTTAATAGCACAATATAATACCAACGTTAGCACATTTCTAGTGCTGTGTTTAAATTACATAAAACAACAGTTAATCCAATATTAGCTAGTTTGCTCGTTTAAATCCCATAATATAACATTTAGTCTAATGTCAGTTAACTTGCTTGATGACCTGGCTACATATTTAATTACAAAACATACTACTTAGCATATTATTAGCGTTTTAACACTTGACTTGGCTACCAATTTAAATGTAATAGTTAACTTAAAGATAGCTGAAGTGATCCGTAAGCCTAAAATGAGCTAACTTTTTCGCTAATCCGAGAACAATTCTCTTAAAATCAAATAGCTACTGCTAGAGCACTACTAAGCTGGCTACGTTTTGACATTAGTGCACTGCAGAGTTAACATTCTCCAGCCTTATCAGGGTGTAACAATTCTGTTACACATGCTCCCTATTTGTGTTTAAGAGTGCAAATAGTTTTACTGCGTGGCTAATACTATTTCCACCCACACCCAACTAAGGGAAAGAAAAAAACTAAATAAATAAAAATCGGCATTTAACAAGGAAAGGAAGAGGAAAATGAAGTGATCGGTGCATAAACAGATTTTAACGTTCAAACACGTACACAAGTGATTAGATATTACTGTTATGTAAATACTAAACATTAGAAACCAACCTCTAAAACTGAACCGCGTAGTCAAAACTCGCTCTGCAAATAGCTCTGTGGATTTGATCGTTAATATGGATACGTACCAGTCGATTTTTACATGCATGATTGAATAATTGATTTTTCCACAAGCCAATATTGCAAAAATAATCATGAATCACAGGATGAACTGTTTTTCCATTCCAAGTGAAAACCTGCATAACCGTCAGCACTTATCACTGTCCTGACATGGGACAAACTGACACAGGTCAAAATGTCCTACAACAGATACAACCAGATGTAGTGTTTATTGAGAAAAATAACAATGTCATTTTGTAATTTAACCCTAGGTCAATTTTGGAAATGCCAGGAATCTGCCTTAAGTCTTACAACTAGGAAATGAAAGAGCAGCGACAGATGGAGGAAGAAGACTGGCTCAAATCCCAGTGGATAGTAAAACCAGATGAAAGTGGCTGACCAGGATGAAAGGAGAGCAGCGAATGTACTGACATTAAATCAGCTTGACCAAATGGCTATTTGTCAGGCAACCTGCAACATTTAATCCAATGTTGACAAACACATTACAGTATCACTACAATAAGTGTTTAAATATCGTAAGAGAGTCAGAGGTGATATGGCGTTTCATCAGAATCTTATTTCTGGTATTTTGTCATTGTTCTTTAACCAGGAACGCATGTTTCAACACATCCACAAAGAAGTGCAAGAGGAACTGAAGAAACATCTTTTAGCAAATTTTACCCTATGACTATACAATGGCACAATGCCATGATTAACATTAAGCCTCTTACAGATTTAATTTCTCTGTGCACTTCAAGATTGATTACATGAATTCATTCAAAAGCTGGTTTTAGTTTTTGCGGTGTTTTCAAGCAACACAAAGAGAGACTCAATGCAGAATAAATTCACATCCTGCCACTCCAGGTAACACCGGATGAAGAGTTCAGAGAGAGGAAGAATGGCAGGAAACAGGAATTTCAACTGCAAAGTGCAAACATAAGCGCAAAAAAAGGCAGATCATTATGACGGATATCTCTGGGTTGGTAAAGCATGTGTTCAGATACACAACTGACTAACTTGAGCTCAATCTCTCTATCTGACGTACTGCTGTCAGTACACAACCCATCCTTCCACCCTATGACGACAGATGTGGCTTTAGGAGACACATTAAAACACAACCAACGTCACTCATCCACCCTGTTTTTCATTGGCAACATTACAAAGCCTTCAAGGAGGAGCAGCTTATGTATTCTATGAGCTATTTAAATTGGAGGAGTAGCTTAGAAACCAACCATAAAAATAAATTCTCTGAATTCTCTTCAGGCTGCTTTGACGCAACAGCATCAAAACGGAACAGGTGAAAAGACCGGCTGAAGTAAACACTGAACGAGACAGAAAAAGGCTTGAAAATGTTGAAATACAGTCAACTTGTTTTTTCTGATACTCAGTAAACTCAATATAGAATGAAATGGAAAAATATAGTTAGAAAGCAAATACATTCAGTCTGACTACAAAATATTGCTTAATACGAGCTGTAATATTTTCCTTTGGAATACTGATCTCAGTGGAATTATATGTCGGTCAGCATTTTGATAAATTATGGCATTAGTGCATAGTCAAATTAACCCTGATCACTGATGTTATCTAGCTTGATTGAGGACTTGGCTACGGTTTCAAAATATTACATTTATAGTTAGAATTATGCAATAAAGGATGCAAATGCTTGATTTATTTGACCTAATACAATATTAAGCCTAATATGAGCTAGATTGTTGTAGCGGCTTACAGGAGCCTCACGGCTCCTGCGTCCTTAGTTCAATCCTGAGCTCAGGTTACTGTTTGTGTTGGGTTTAGGACATTGTGGAGGGGTTCTCTGTTTTCCTCCCCCACCCAAAATAAGCTGGTTGGTGGATTGGCTGCTCTTAATCATTACCCCTAGGTGTGAATGTGTTTGCATGTTGCCCTGCAATGGACTAGAGTCGCATCGAAGGTGCATTTC